CTTTTGTGTGACGGTCTTTCGTCGACCGCTTCGTCAAAACTCCAGAAGTAGCCGCCGCCGTAGATGAGGTTGTGGCGAGCGCGGTGTCTTCTTGAGGCGTAGATCTGGGGACAATTGAGAGAGAAGCATCAACTAACTGCCGAGAACCTCCTCTGGCGGCGGCGCCGTCGGAGAGATCCATTAGCGATTTGAGAAATGGGTAAAAAAGGGAAGATAAATTGAAAGGGAATTGAAATTAGGGTTTGGAGAAAGAGAGTGAAACGGCCATTCTGCTCCGATTGTCGTCTTCGTATCGCTTCCTGTGTTTGACTCTTGTCTTCTTCTCAGCATCGGAGAGAGAGATAAGGGAAAAAGGGTTTGATGATGTAAAAGCAGGTGGATGACTTTTCCAGCCATAGAAATTATTAAAACTTAAAAAACTTATTTTTGCCGTCATTAAAATAATAATCATTATTAAGTTGATTATTTTATCATATAAACGAAATTGATTAGGAAAGAAATGGGTTTTAAATTCCACTCGTTTGATATGATAATGACATGACCTTCAAAATTTTTAAGTCTCTTCCGAACCAAAACCCACCCAAAATTTTAAATTTATTATTTAATTTACTTAAAATTTAATGTTTTTTTGTTCTCTTCCAAACGTGAGAGACAGAGGATTGTTTTCACAATGATGATTTTTAAGTCAAATTTTGTTTAGAGCTTTGATGAATCTTTGAATCCTAGATCACTTTTGTTAGAAAAATGTAAAAAGCAGCCCAGCGAAAATGCAATTAATGCTACATTGTTTTTTGTGTTTTTGATTAAAAAGGAACATTATTCAAATCAATACAGCAATAATCCTTGTGTCTAGAAGAACACATCAACATTTTCAAAGTTTCTTAAGCTGACATATCAGTATAAATGAAAAACCAATCAAAATAAAATATTAATACACATCATATAATATTATTTGACACATAGATAAATTCTTTTTTTTTTCAAACCCATGAAAAAGCTCACTAACTAACAAAAACATATTAATTAGAGAAAATTGGCAAAATGCCTTATTTAAGTTTTTAAATTTGAAAAGTACACTGTTAGTTAAATTTTTAAAAATAACACTTATTTAATATTATATAAAACAAATAAGTTTTTCTTTACCTAGCTTAAAAGAGATATTATATATTTTAATAAATTAAAATTAAAATTCGAAATTATTAATATTAATTTATTTGAGAAATTTAAAATTTGAAATTATTAATTATAAAAATAATTTATTTTAGACAATTAAAATTCGAAATTATCAATTTAAATATTTGAAAATTCATCTCTAACAAAAAATAGTTTATTAGTGTATTAATTAGATATTTTTTAACTAAAATTAGTTTGGTCCATCATAAAATTTCTAAGAGTTAGATCTATATAAAATTTAGTAAAAGACCAAATCAAATGATATATGAACTGCAATGATGATTCAAATTTGCAAAATCATGTGTCTTCATTTTTTTATTTATTTTTATATATTTATTTTATTAATTAAAATATTAATCAAATTACAAAATCAAGTGTCTTCATTCTTATCTTCATTTTATATATTTATTTATATTTTAATTAAATATTTAAGGTATTACCAATTTTTAGTTAGATTAATTTAGACATTTCACTAAAAAATTAAGCATAGTTAAAAAAATGAACAATGATGTAGTTTTCAAAATACAATTTCTTTTGAAGGTATTTTTCCAAATTTTCTCTATTAATTAATACATCAATTTAGTGGATTAGTTTAAGAGTACCTAAATTTAGTCGTAACACTGATAATTAGTTTTCAAGATTAGAAACGGCTACATATGTATGCATCAATATAAAATCAGTGTAGTAGTGTTTGAATTATATACTTATATTTTTTTCATCCATAGACTATATACTATATGTTCATTATATATATACGATAAAATATATAATTAATTCTATCAAATCCATCCGTAGCACAGCCGTGAAGGTCTGAACATCACCACACACTCCTTCTAAAAAAATAGAGATACAATATAGGACAAAGTGAAATTTTCAACATAGCATAAGGTGTTCAAGGATATATATTTACAATTGTATCTGGTAAATGAAAAATCCATGTGCTTACAATCGTATCTGGTAAATGAACCGTTTATAAAACTTGATGTTGATTAAATTTTAGTAAAAGAACTTAGATTGAACTTCATCAAGTTGGACATGGTATCCTATTCACCAAATTTATGTTCACATATTAAAGATCAGTTTATAATATATATATATAACTTACGTTTTCTAACCATTCGAAATCAAACAAAAATTGACGGGCATTAAAAAAATAAAAACCATGGGTTTTAATCGGTTTGGACAAGTTAGTCGATTTAGAATATTTTGCATACCGGCACCGGTTTTAGAGAATGTCAATTTTGTAACTTTAAAAATAATTTGATTAAATAAAATTTCAAAGAAATAGAGCAAACTTTAGAAAAAGTTAACTCATCGAAAAAGAGGTATATATCATTTGAAATAGAAATAAAATAGTACAATTTTGATGGAAATTTGTTGAAAATATTGAAAGAAAAATTATAATTTTTTATTAGAAATTCATTAAAAATTTACAATTGTAACCGAAGTTAAAGAGCACCAAAAAAAGCAAAATTTGAAAATTGATAGAAGAAAAATGAACGTTAGATGATAATGACTGAAAATATTAAAAGATAAGAAAAATGAATAGCTAAGTATGACAATTGATTTATTATCATTTTTGAAAGTAAGAGAGACATGATTTTGTCTAAAAAAGAGAGTGACATGATTATTTATAAGAATAAAAATAATAGAAACATAAGTATTATAAGAAGGGTTTAGTAGAATAGATTAACGAAAATTGAGACAAGAAAGATAAGTCAAAGATAACCAAACTCATTTTGCACTCAATGTAATACAAAGATAGACAAATTACATGGCTATTTAGTTGAGAATGATATCATAGATGATTAAAAGATAGTGAGTTATACGAATGATCGAATAGAAATACGGAGACTGAGAAAGAAATGTGATATTCATAGAAGAATTAGTAAAGAGAACAGCTAAATTATATTCATTAAAAATAATATAATTTTGAAGAATATACTGTGAGTAAAAGAAAATAAATGTAAACAAATTCAAATATAAATAGATAACATGTTAGCTTTGAGTGAGGTTTTATGAATAAATGATGTATTCAAATTAAAAAAAACTTAAAAAATAAATAGATACATTTTTTAATAATGTATAAAAAATTAGACGATATTAGAGAGTTGGAAAGAAATGTAAATTAAACAAAAAAATATAATTACATTCTTATTTGATTTTGTTTAAAATAATAATTATTTTTAAAATCTTATAATATTGTACAAAATAATAATAATAATAATAATAATAATAATAATAATATTAAAAAATATTAAAAATTTATTAATTAAATTTTAGTTAAACTATTTATTTCTGTATCTATTTTTTATTTATTAGAATATGATATAAATTAATAAAATAAACTATAGAAAATCCTGTAGCATCTCACGGGTATATATCTAGTACAAACAAAAACGGAGAGAGTACATATTTCGCATTTGAAATTGGTGGCTCGACTCTCACTCTATATATATTTTTATTTATTCCTACTCCAACAACTTTTCTACAAAAATACGACTTAAATGCAATAATTATTTAATATTCCGTACCACTACATGCATTCTAACATGACTAAAATAATAAAATTGAGTTGAGAAACATGAAACTATGGAAGTAGAGGGACCCAGAAGAGGTAAAAAAAGATGCAGGGAGAGAGAGACACAACACACACAAATGTTCTTGTGTATAGTTTAGTGGATTTGTCAAATTGAGAACAGATAGGCATCTTTTAGACAGTGAAGCGTGCGTATTTTTGCAGGTGGGGACAGCTCATCCCAATCTACCACCGTATCTCCATTTCACATTTTACTTTATTATTTTTATTTTATAAGACTTTATTATATGCGATGTCAAATAATTTATTAAATTGATATTTTTTGTCATCAAAATAAATAGTTAAAATGACACTAATTTGTTTTGTTAAGTTTAAAATAGCGCTGGGGAAGAAATTACAAATGCATTTTCAAACTCATCTTTTTATATGTATATTCATTAATATGTTAGTGTTACTTACTCGATGATATTATATATATATATATATATATATATAAATTGATAGGTGATTTAATCAATAACACAACTACCCACAAATGTAGACAACATTTTTGTTAAACTGCATACAAATGGATTTTCTTTTTGTTTACGATTTTGCTACAGATTTTATTTATCTCTACACAAGTCTATGTAATTAGCTTCTCTACCGAATTAACCATTTACTAACACTAAAATGAATATGTGCATTATGATTACTATTAAAATTATGATATACTTATATTTTGTAACTATTTTTGAAATTGTTACTCATAAACCGAAAAGCCAAAAATCGAAACCAAAGTCCAAGCTTATAGGCACTTTAAGAGGCAAGAACAGTGAAACAAGAGTAGATGTGAACAAGGCAGATTCTAAAGCAATCAAATATCGTCCACACTTGGGAAGAACTTACAACAGAGAATGTCATCAACTTTACATGAAGCATTCACTCGAAGGGATGCACCATTTTACCAGTAACCATAGAAATACAAACAAACAAACAGTACAGATAATCTAGTACAACTCCACAGATCAGTGTTCTTACTTTTGTCCGGGTTCCATATATTTCGGTCTCATATCACAAGTCGCTACAACAATCACCAGATAAATGAAGCCCAGGTGTCTGATCTTCGAACTAAAACCACCTCAGGCAAGCCATCTGCTGGAAGTAATATAAGGTTTTCAGGTAATTGTAAAAAGTGATGACCATGGAGTTAAAACATGCGCGGTGAACAGTAGATTACGGTCTGATCTTGTTGAAACGTCAGACCCTTCAGATCTAATGAACCGGTTGTGTAGAGAGATTCAATTGACTAGAAGTGGAATTGACCCGTGACAGATACAGAGTCGCGTCTACAGTTTGAATCCTTGGTGTTGAGGGAAAGACTCGAGAACTGAGATTCGAGATCTTTGCTCGTAGCACGTCCGTGACTTGGAGATGGTTTATGAGTTGCTGATGGTTGCTGAGTTTGTTGTTGTTGCTGCTGATACAGTGCTCGTAGTCTTCCAATCTCTTTTTCCAACACCTCCTGTTCCACTGGATCATAGAGAAAACTCATGAGTTGTTGTACTACTTTGCTACAGAATTGAATAGGCTAAAAAGTATTGTAAAGCTTGTTTGTTAGTTTTCTCTAGATAGAAGTTACAATAGATTTGAGGAGAGTACTAATAATTTCGTAATGTTCAATCTTGATAACTAGCTAATACTTAGAAATCCATTACTTCAGATTAAGGTTTGGATCTACAGAAATCTAAGAAGGATAGTCTTTTGGATGGGTAGGAGAAACTTACATTGTTTGATCATCTTCTCCTGAGCTATACTTTCTAGTCGCTGCTTAAGAGCTTTATTTTCCATACCCAGAATAAGATTCCGCTGGTTGAGAAAATCAAGCTCGGCTGAAACTTTGGAGCCTTCTGCCTATAGATACCAAGGAAAAATCAATACCTCAGTGTTTCTGAAATTGTAATTGGATACACCTTTCACCAACAAGGTTTCTTTAGCCTTACCTGCAATGCTTGTACATTCCTTTCTAGCTCAGATATGTACTGGAGCTTACGAACCCGTGATCGTTGTGCAAATTGCCTGCAGGACAAGAGCAGCAACATGTTATGATAATGTAAGTAAAGTCAATATCAATAACCATCCCATCAGTGTCACAAGTTTCACTCATCTCTCACTATGATGATGCTGTTCAAAGATGTAAATTCTCCTCAACCACAAGTCAACAAGACCAATAATCACATCATAAAGAATAAAAAAACGAATGATGATAATAGGGGAAATAGAATGAGTGTCTCCTATTCTGTATTGCTTTGAATAAGTAAATCAATCAAGAACGAGTGAAAAGATCACATACTGTTTGGCTCGTCTTGTATTGTCAGCCTCATAAGTCCCAGGCTGAGGATTGGAGTTTCTTTCCTCGGGAGAGAACTTTTTCGGTTCATGAGAAAGAGTTTTGGCGTAGTTCTTTGTTTCTGATATCCCTGTTGCTTCTTGAGACATATATGATGACGCTCCCATGTGTTTTCCTCCAACATTCTCTCGAGCGAAAGGTAGCCAAGAAGGACGAGCCCCAGATACCACCAAAGGATCCCGATGTCGATTTGTATGTTTTGGAAAACTAGCATCAGAGTAGAAGGCAGCGTCATGCGCATTTATATTCCAATCAAGCTCATGAACTCCTCTCTGAGTGGAAGCACCCGTGTTCCTGTAGCTGAAATCGTTTTGGAGAGTCAAGCTAATGTTTTTAGCATTAGCCACGTCTAGATACGCGTAAGAGTCACTCGATGAACGCCTATGACCACATTTGCGAACAGGGCTCTCTGGCTCGTTGAGAAGATCATCAAGCCAAAAGGGAGGCTCTTCTACCAAATCGCTCTCAGAGGAAGTTCGCTGATGGTGCGTTTTCTGTTCGCTAAGCTTCTGACCGTGCCTTGAACCAATCGAACCACCGGGAATATATTCAGAATACGGGGCTGATACGCTAGGAAACGGGATCTTTGGAGGGAGCAAAGCAGTTTTTCCTGGGTGCATCAAGTCTTTAACACTCTGTGATCCCTTGGAGTTAGCCATTGACACCACCCTTTCCTGCCAAAACCAACAGTAAAATATAACCACTTAACTCGCAAGACATCTCTTATATAGAAAACACCATGAAAGCATTCTTCTGAGCCGTTAAAATCAAAAGGAAGAACATAGATCTGACAATTTAAACCATTGCACCAAACCACAAAGCAGGTCTTTTTAAGTTCGTACAAATAACCCAATATCAGATTTAGAACAAAACAGCAACAAAAGAACTAAAAGGGCAGGCTGATAAAGTTAAGCATAAATCAATGCCGCAATTCTTAAAACGGCATTGTGTTTTTAATGTATTCTGCCAAAATGTTTGACTAAAGTTTGATTTCTTCTTTTGGAAATAAAAAGCTGACAGTGAAGCACATCGCTATAGACTAATTCAGAGCTGTTAAAATCATTCCAAATGCAAACAACCAAAGATCAAAAGGAAGAACACAGACCTGACAATTTAAACCATTGCATCAAACCACAAAGCAGGTCTTTTTAAACTTGTCCTGATGACCCACTAGCAGAAATCGAACAAAACAGCAACAAAAAAAAGTACTAAAACGGCTGATGAATCAATGCAGCAATTTCTTAAAAATGTTTTTAATGTATTCTCCCAAAACGTTTGACTAAAGTTTGATTTCTTCTTTTGGAATTAAAAAGCTGACAGTGAAGCACATCGCTATAGACACATTCAGAGCTGTTAAAAACATTCCAAAGGCAAACAACCAAAGACCAAAAGGAAGAACATAGATCGGACAATTTTAACCATTGCATCAAACCACAAAGCAGGACTCTTTAAGCTTGTCCAAGCAACCCACTAGCAGAAATAGAACAAAACAGCAAAGAAAAAGAACGTGATGAAATGAAATTAACCATAGATCAATGCAGCAATTCTTAAAATGGCATTGTGTTTTTAATGTATTCTCCCAAAACGTTTGACTAAAGTTTAGTTTCTTCTTTTGGAAATAAAAAGCTGACAGTGAAGCAGATCGCTATATACTCATTTAGAGCTGTTAAAATCATTCCAAATGCAAACAACCAAATACCAAAAGGAAGAACATAGATCTGAAAATTTTAACCATTGCATCAAACCACAAAGCAGGTCTCTTTAAGCTTGTCCAAATAACCCACTAGCAGAAATAGAACAAAACAGCAAAAAAAGAACTTAATGAAATTAACCATGGATCAATGCAGCAATTCTCTAAATGGCATTGTGTTTTTAATGTAATCTCCCATAATGTTTTGACTAAAGTTTGATTTTTTCTTTTGGGAATAGAAAAGCTGACAGTGAAGCACATCGCTATAGACTAATCCAGAACAGAGCAGACCAGCTCATTTAGTTGCTTTCTGATAAGCTAGATTTAATAACATATATACTTTGGTTTAGACTCATAAAATTGATAATAAGCTTCTTAATTATCTCATCTCGACTAAATTAGCTTCTTAATTATCTAAGTTAATCAAATAAACCTTTTTCTCCTTGCCGCATTTTCCAGCAGCCAAACATTGAACAACCCAATCAATTAAACGTAAAAATAAATCGAGAATACATAAATAGTAATTAAACCCCGAAATTATGATGATAAACAGATGCATATTCGTCTCCCATTTTCAGATAATTGATTCTATTTTAAAATTCGAAGAAGAAAAACAAAAAACTAACCAGTCGGAGAATTCGAGGCCTGAGACTGGATCCGAATCGAAGAAAAATCAGGAACCCAGAAGCTGAAAATGGTAATTCCGCCTTATTATTCACCGGAGATCTTCTTTCGTAGGAATATGTAAAACTCTTTTGCCTCTCTGTCTTATCGTTGAAGGAGATTGAAGGAGAAGAATCAATCGACGTCGAGGAGGTTGATGAGAGAAATTTGGGGGAATTTGGTCCTGAAAAAGTAAATCAAAGGCTTCTCTTTTGACTTGGGCCTTTTTTTGTTTTTTGTTTTTTGTTTTCGGCCCTTTTTTGTCCAAAGGCCTTTTATTCCCTTATTTTTGGTATTTAAAAAATCGCCCGTCATACTTTAACATATTTACATCTGCCCTTGATGTTTCTTTTCCTTTTTTTTTTTTTGTGTTCAAACACTTCTCATTAAATCAAAAGGTTGTTTTAAGACTACCTGTTTCTTTTCCTTAGATTTGTGTAATTAATTAATCTTTCTTTCACATATAGGCACGGTCCGGTGGATCCGTTCAGATAATATCTAAGATCCAAACGATGATTCAAAAAATTAAATTTATTTATCAAATTTAAATAATTAACCGAATTATTATCAAAGGTTTTTTAGATAATTCATATTATTTTAAGATTCGAATTATGTTTGGTTCTGTAACGGTTCTAATTCCAAATTTCAAAACTGACTTGAATTTAAAAGGATCTAAACTTATCTGAACCATAAAATTTCACAATTAGACACAAAAAACTCGAATTTATCAGTGCAGAAAAAAGAGTAATAAAGAACTTTTTTGTATTGGACAACACCAAGAATACTTTTATTAGATTTGAATCTTTTAAAGTTAATCTTACAAGATTACATTTTATTAGCGTTACACAACTCTAAACTTCTAGATTGATCCTAATCGATTTCAAGCTCTAAAACAAAACAAAGTACTAGATCTCACAATAAGTAAATCTAGCTTTGACAAAAACCACTAATACAAAACTTTTTATGTTTTGTGACTCAATTCTTCAAGTTTAAAATCATATTATCATAGCACAAAAGATTATCAATCTTTCATGGGGATAGTGTAGAAAAGATACATTAGGGAAGATGCAGAAGTGTGTTTAGCTAAGCCTAGAAGGGGTTTTAAAAGGGAATTCACTCAACAATAAAATAAGTGCAACGAGTGATTAAGCAAGTAACTAAGGTGGGGGTATTGGATTCAGAATTTGAATTGAATTGTAGGGAATTGAAAATTCTATTAAATATCAGTGTTATTCAATTATATATATTATCAATTCTTTTAAATATATGTGCTATTGGTTAAGGATTTCTATTCATTATTTCAAAATCCTTCAAATACTATTGTTATTCAATATACTAATTTTCTAATTCTATTAAATATCTGTGTTATGCAATTTTGTAATAGCTTTGATTGTATTATCATTTGGAAGGAATTTAATAGAATCTTACATAAAAATTATAAAAAAACCAATTCTTACCATTTTCACTCTGATTTTGATAGAATTGGTTTAAATTCCAACAAAACACTTTGAATTACTTAGAAATCAATTATTTTTGAATTTTTGTAAATTCTATCTAATTCAATAATCCAATACCACCCCCTAAGAACAATTCTAAGGCAATAAAATTAAAGGGGTGGTATTCGATCATTGAATTAGATAGAATGTATAAGAATTCAAAAATAATTGATTTTTAAGTAATTTAAAGTGTTTTGTTGGAATTTAAACCAGTTCTATCAAAATCAGAGTAAAAATGGTAGGAATTAGTTTTTTATAATTTTTATGTGAGATTCTATTAAATTCCTTCTAAATGATAATGCAATCAAAGCTATTACACGATTGAATAACATGGATATTTAATAGAATTGGAAAATTAGTATATTGAACAACAACGATATTTAAATGATTTTTAAAAAAATAAATATAAATACTTAATCCAATAACACAGATATTTAAAAGAATTGATTAAAATATATCATTGAATAATACTGATATTTAATAGAATTTTCATTCCCTACAATTCAATCCAATTTCTGAATCCAATACCCCCACCTAAACCAATCAAGAGTAAATCCAGAACAAGTAAAACATAGCAGCAGATGAAGGCGACTTAATCAATAAAACGCAATGGTCTTAAGATAGGGAAGTTTGGTACTAGGGTGACTCTTTGAATTGTCAATAGTGTTCAAACAACAATACAATGCTAATCTTTAGGCATAGAACATCAAAACAAAACTAATCCAATCTCTTGAGAGTAATTTCTTTACTAATCACAATCCTACCCCATGGTCAATGTTGGAAACACAATCAGCAATCATTAAGATTCAGTTCTACAAAGCCAATAAGCACCTTAGACAACTAATCTCTTAGGCTAAGCATGCAAATCACTTATTCAACTCATTCAAGAATTTCAACGAACACTTGCAATGCATCAAAACTCCTATGAACATGAATACCTTTCCCAAGGTCAATCAAGCATTAAGATCGTCAAACAAGTAAGGATATGGAAGAATTAAGCATAAGACACCAATAATCAATCATCAGATCATCATTATTACCTCATCTCAAAATTCAAGGAAACTACTCACTAGCCATGCTTAGAACCATAAGAATATAGCTAAACATGATTAGAAGATGATAAACAAATTAAGACAAGTACAAAACTTTATTAAAATGATTCAAGATCAATTTGTTCTTCAAAGAAATACAAAAGAGAAAGAATATTTTACAAAAAAACTTGGATAAGATAGAGGTTTTTAGGCTCAGTCTATTTATATGAGAGAGTTAAAAATGACTTAGTCGACTAAAATTAAACCTAGTTAACCAAAAAGTCATCGGATTAGTCACATCGTGCATGGCAGGAATGGACCAGGTCGGTGTGTGTGCTTGGTGTATTTTGAAATGCTGTGCAGGATACTTCAGGTCGGCATTTTCCTTGATTGGTGTCTCGGCTTAGGATGCATCGGGCAGGCTGTGGAATGGCCTTGGTCGATGTCCCTCGTCGGTATGTCATGTATTGCCTTGTACTGTACAGGGTCATCGACGTACGGTTTGCCCTCCACGGTATGATCGCTCTAGTAGAGAGTCATCGGCGTACAACACGTCTTTCCATGGTGTGATCGTCCTCATGGAGAGTCATCAGTGTACGACACGTCCCTCCATGGTATGATTGCCGCAGAGCATGTCCCTCGGTGTACGGATGTGTCTTTGGTTGGTGTGGTCTGCACCGTGGAAGGCATGAGGCGCTCTCTACGGTGTATCTTCTCGATGTGGTTCACCATATCCCGATTGGCTAGGCTCTTCCTCTCCATTCCGACTCCTCTTTCCT